AGTACGTCCGAATCTCATTCATACTACCAGGCTTCATACTATACAGTACCTACTGTTTTAACGGTCAGTAAGTAGGTACTTCATCTCTTTCAGTACGTACTGTCACAGTATGCGGTTTCGGACGCAGCCCCAGTCTATGTTTTGAGCAACTTCCATAACTACGTTTAATAACGTTAAAAGCACAAGGTGTAGGCCTATTTCTCATACATGGTGTTTCCTCACACATGGCTCCAAAGACCAAATATGTATATTTTTATAAATTAATGACTACAGAAGACGACATTGCCGCGGAGAGCTACCTGTCCTTTTCCTGTTTTCGACATTTGCTGTATGAGCAACCACTGACGCATTCACCTGACAGACACCAGTTAACAGGGTCACTCATTAATCTTGAGCACAGGACGCCTGAAAAATGGGGCTGCCCGAGTGTTTTTTTCAGTGGAATAACTTTACCCTGCCTGCGTCACGGCCCAGGGTTTGACAGAGGAAAGGACGCCCAAATCCACAACCCACAGGCCAAAATAAGGATCACGACTGCTGCTCCACTACTGAGCCTGAAGTGCGGAATAAGGCAACAAGTTTGGCTTGGAGTGATCATCTGCTTCCGATGACGACATGTGGCTTTACTTAAGGTTAGTAAACATGTTGTTTCCTCGGCCTTGTTAGCTGGACTTCAATAAAATATGTGTTCTCCAAATTGTGGTATTGATTAGGTAGCCTAATTTTATGTATACTCTCAAGAAAGACTGTTATTTCTGACCCATACTCTGTTTTGTGTCATGTAGAGATTATGCAGAATCACCTAGATGCTTCAGCTTTACTTCCTCAATCAGTTTTGGTAATTCCAGTAAACAACTGGGCAAGTTCAACGATTCTGTCATCCCCCCCATTTGTTTGTGTTTTGACAAAATGTCTGGTATTGTAAAACAGTATCTGACAGAATGGCTTTGCTGGCGCTGTAGGTGTGTTTAGCCTCACTACTGTGTAAGAGAGCTAAACTTTGCCATTGTCCTTGATTCTGGGGGGGGGGTTTAGTGGAAATCATTTGACCTTTTCATCGCCCTACCTCTACTGAGACAAGAACAATCCAACTGACTCATATACTAAATTTTGCTTTACCTCATTAACAGGAATTCTACAGCCTGTTAGCACAGTAAAATGTATGCATTTATTTAATTTAATTTTAGAAACACTTAAGAATCTCAGACAGAACAATGGTCACGTTTCTAACTTTCTAGCTTAAAATGTCCAACCTTTAGGCTACTGATGACTCTTTTATCAAGGTAAAATGCATATTTAAAAAAATCCACAAGGAATTAAAAGAGCGTCCCCTACCCTATCAATCACCTGCTATTAGCACAGATTCCCATTTCTGCCTATGTCTGGCACAGCAGGGTGAGAGACATTCAAGCCTTTTCCAAAATAATGACAAACCTTTCTGTATAATGGTTTTTGTGTGTACACCTCTCAGTATGTGTGCACCTGAGAGAGTAAATTTAGGCCTGTTCGTGTGTGTGACTGTGTGCATGCATGTGCTTACCAAAGCTATTAGATGACCACACCACAGTACAAAAACCAATTACACCCTTAGCCCCCCCTCAGCTGAATTCAGTTGCAGTGAGTGTGGACTTTTAGGAGAGCCTGGGGTGATCTGACAATTGGAGCAAGAGACGGAAATGGGGTGAGACGGATGAGAAACAGGAGAGGAAAGGGATAGGTGTGTGTGAGTGAAAACGCTCAATCTGGAAGAGAGGCGATGTGCTATATAGCTGCAGAGTGAAGCAATCTTGTGGAGTTGAATGGTGTTGAAAGTGCTAAGACAGAATGGTAAAAACAGAGCTTAGTCTGGGCTGAATGCCATCGCAAAGCAGAGGTCACATGCTGAAGGACAGATGCATCTAATATGGCTGGACTTCCCATGTCTACCCTGCATGAGAGCTGACAGAGAGCTTGTGAACTTCCTGTATGTGCACTGCTCAGGTGTTGTAAGGATGGGTCACAGACCTCTGGTCACCTTTACCAAAAAGACTGTAGCCAAGTTATGCCACAAATCCCAAAGGCAGCTGCGACACAGATTTAGGCGTGTGAGGACACAACGGTGGAAGAACAGAAGGTGCAACATTCAAATGTCAGATCAAAGCTTGTAGGGGATGAAAAGATTGTGGCCCTGATCTTGGAGACACACAAGCCAAAGTATGTGCACACACATGCACAGTGTGACAGGAAGCCAAAAGGATGTATTACCTTCGTACTGTTTGTCCAGATGGTTTAAATGAGGAGCTCCAAATTAGTTTTTTTTTCTTTTGGTCATATTAGAAAAGTTATGTGAAGTGTGATTTGATACAATGGACTTGGGAAATGCAGGCAGTCAGCTATGGAGATATAAGAATGATCACAGGTGTAGTAGATAAACTACAAACATATAGTATATGAAGATTATGTATCCAGGAAGTCGTCAACAACTCCCGAGTGCTGCAAGATCTTTCCTAAACCAGGAATATGCACATAGGAAAGTGGACTGATGTTGTGTTTGTTTTGGCTGTATAAAATAGAGCCCTTTATTTTGAAACGCGAATTTATAAGATTATTATTAGAAATGTTATTTATGGTCACCTGATAGGAAGTCGTGTGACTTGCATGGTAAGCAACTCATCCGTAAACTCTTTCATTTAATGTTTGCTCTGGTGAAAGCCTGGGGCAGGTTGAAATGTTCTCGCAGTAAATTAGACAGCAAGGAGTCTGGGAGTTAGTGAGAAACTCGTAATTCAGCTGCTGGAATGTGGGTCATATGAAACTGTGAAGTGCATTAAGATATTCTGCCTACACATCCAACAAAAAAGCAAATAAGGCCATGTAAGTGACACTAGGTTTGTTCATTTATTCAGTCTGAACCAGGATTCTGAAGGAGTAAATATTTCTGCTTAGAACTAGGTGGAAAAAAAAGAGATAAACCTAGACAATAAAGATGGCATCTAAGAATATATAGTGTCCTATACAGGTATCCAGTCTTCTAGTACTGAAGCTGATCCTAGGAGACAGACAAATGTACTGCTAGTTGCTCCTCATAGAGATTACGAGCTGCTGAGTGAGATGTTTGCAGGGCCAGAGGGCTGGGATTGGAGTTGCTTCACTGACTCCATAAGGAGAGGGCCTGGGCTCAGCTCTAAATTAGTGGGTCTTCTGGATCAATGTGGGCTGTAATTAGCTGTTATTGATTCCAGACAGATCAGCCACTACAGTAGGCCACAGCCAAGCACCTCTCAGCGTCCATCAAGCTGCATCCCCACAGCACAGCAGCACAGCCTTAGATCACTCTGCGAGCAAACAAATAATATCAGCCAGCACACTCAGCTCCTGGTAAGTGCACTAAAGATACTGCTCAACATTTCAGGATTCACTTACATATTCCATTAGTGCACAGTGCAATGCATCTTTTTGATTCACAGTCTTATCGTATGTTCCATTAAATCATATACATTACATTATATGCTTCTGTAACATGCAGAAAAAATAGGGCAAATCTTGGGTTATTATCCTGATGCATCACTCATAAATCAGTTGTAATTATGCACCAAAACTGTGGACAACACCGGAGATGATGGCACTGCAATCTGGCATTTAGAAAAAGAGATCTAATCTTATCCAAAATGATCACAATCAAGAATTTTTCAATATCTCATCAAAGTGAATTAAGTGATTTTGCTCTTTTCACTAATGCTAATGATCTAGGCTCTCATCAGAGTGTTTTCCCCTTTTCTCATGTGCTCAAAAGCACCTTACATAGTGATCCTGAAGTGATTGGCGAAAACAAGACTTCATTTTTTAGGTAGTTCACCCATTTTGACAATTGTCACCACTACTTGTAGAAAGTTTTTTTTCCTTCTCTCTTTCTTCAATTTGTGATCATAATAAAATATATGGCCTATAATTATAATGGGCCTGCCTGTCAGAGATATGAAGCTGAATTCAAAGCTTGAATTATTTGTCTATTGAACAAATGTAGTTTAAACAAAGGCATAGGAACTGTGAAATGTGGTCAAAATTATACCCTTTACAATCTCATTTCTTATAAAGCCCCTCTGTCTATGGTCCTCATACTTTCCTGCCACTGTAAGTTGGAAATGACTGTGCAAAAATTGTTCTCTTTCAGAGAGCATGCTTCTTGGCAAAATTAAAGACGCAGATCTGTCTGTTGTGTTAGGAGACTGTTTATGACCAGCATCTGCAACCCAGTCTCTCAGGGACATTCATCCTTGTGGGGTGTGTAATTAACAGCACTGACCTTTTATAACTAAGGATTTTATTTATTTATTTTATCTAGAGGTTCTGCAGTGGAGCGTTGCTCCTCAGCCATGGGTTGAAGTAACACTGGACTCTAGTGTGGTACTGTAGCAATGTATCTGAATATTCTCTATTATCCAGTATACTGTATGTGCATTAGGAACATTAAGTCAGAAGCAGCTGGACTTGTTTTTTCTTGAGGTTATTCACCGCTCATCCAAGAGGCTTCATCAACTCTACTGATAGCAATAATGATGCTATTTAGATGTGTTGTTTTATTTAAAAGCATTTCAGACTCTGACCAACTTCACTGTTGAACATGAATAATTGCCTTTGCCTCCATCCAGCCCCGGCCTCAGACTTATTGAACTACTAGAATATCCAATTTCGCCCAGTCCAAATGTCCTTTTGCTGCAGTCTGGCTTGGTTAGATTCAATATTGTGGTGATGTGTGCAATTCCAGGCCCAAATGAATCTCCCAGCACAAGCCCATCTCAGAAAAGATGTTTCCAGAGATTGAAGCACAGGGATACCAGGTGGAAGAGTAGTGCTGCAAAGTGAGTGAGAGCAATTTGCACTCTGCAGGTTAAACTAAACTTTCTCTGATATATAAAAATGAGAAACTTGAATCAGCAAGAAAAAAGTAATTTTCTCAATACTTCGTAGAGTCTTTGGGATGGTTGTGTTTTTATTTTTTACTACATTGGAGCAAAAAGGATATTGTCTAGACAGAAAACATCCACCCAAGCACGATACAAGAATTTTTAATGTGTAAGCACAAACCTACATAAAAAGTATTTTAATGGCCCTTCTCAATATGTGTTTTCTATGTTTTAGTGGTACAAGAAGAGATTTAAGGCACTGTTTGGAGGGGGATCTCAAACCCAAGACTATTTAACAACAGGACTATTGCTGTATACAGTTACCAAATCATAAAAAAAATCGTTAAATTGTAAAAAAAAAAAAAAAAAAAAAAAAAATTTAAAATGAACAGGACTCTGACAGATTACCTATATGTATAAATAGATCTGCCACCTGGTTCATATGTGTGATGTCCTGCAACACTGCCAGTTAGTGCCAGGAGGTTCGAGGGTTCATTTCCACA